TTGAGATATTTGTTTTAGCATTAATAAGAACTCATCCTCCCCTTTTTCAAGACTCTATTTTTAGCCAAAGAGAGAAGGGAAAGGAAAAGAGTGATCTTTAAGAGGAATCAAGAGAAAAGCAAGCAAATTTGATCTTCCAACTAAAATTCAAGCTTGGTAAGTTGTTCTAAGATGTTTCTTACTTTGTTTTCTTGAGTTGTATGGTTGGAAAAATCACTTCTCATCCCTTCTTATTGTTGGTTGAAATAGATATAGTGTAGGAAAGGTTTTGTTGTTAAACATGTAACATCCAAATTTTTGAGCCTAGAAGTACCAAAAATAGCCTAAATTGGATAGGCTACCAGACTCCTTTTGAGCAGAAGTCCCAAAGATGAGAAAGGAAGTCAATACAGTTTCAGGGACTAAACTGCAAAGTAAAAGTTTTCAGGGGCTCAAGAGTAATCAAGTTAGAGGCTCCAGTAAAGTCTCGAAGACCCAAAAGGAGAAAAGAAGCTAGATACAGGCCAAGGGTTAAGTTAGAGACCTCAAAGAGAGGATTGTATGAAGTTAAGTCCAAGCAGGGACTAAACTGTAAATTCAGAAAGTTATGATTAGCACGGGTAAAAATGGAAGAGTATACAAAGAATTCCAAGAAAATCCTAGAAAATGGGAAATAATATTCTAAGGCTCTTCTGTGAAGAGAAAAGATAAAAATACCCCTGAGGCAGCTTAAATGGAATTTATGAGGTTATGGCCGGTAAAAAGTATATCGTTTGAGGTAACTATTTAAAATAGCAAGAGACCTCAAAAAAATGTATACAAAAATGAGATTAAATGGTTGAAAGGTTGTACTAATTTATAAAATTAGTCCCACAACCAAAAGGCTAGTGGAATGGTTTTAATAAATTAAAAAGCTGATTGTGCCGATAAAAGGGCATTTTAGTAAATGAATTTTATGCAAGGCTTAAAGGAAGTGTTATGACCTAAGAAAAATTCATAGATACTCTCTAGAATTAAAGGAAATTTATGGAGCAGACAGAAAAATTTTCTGAGCTCCGAAAAGCCATAAAGAAAGCCGGAGAAACTTGGGCCAAATAAATTCGGAGGAAACTTAAGAAACAAGTTTGATCCAATAGCTAGGATCTAATCTCCCTTCTCCTCCACCACTTTTGTGACACTTGGCATCTTCTAGAAGGATGAGGTAAGGATGATGCAAGAAGATGATGTAATGATAATGTAAAAGTCAACTTGAAATTCCAAAATTGCCCTTACCCTTTCTATTAGCCACCAAGGGCATTTTGGTCCATTCAAGCCAAATTTTGGGCTATAAATAGGCACTCCCTCCCCTCTTATTTCGGCCAAGCAAGGAAGCATAGGGGAAACTCTGCCGCTCTTGCATTTAGAGAGAGAAAGAGCTATTTCTAGTGAGAGAAAGTCCACCTAAGTTCAAGCTTCAAGATGAAGGTATGTGATGGTTGTAGCATCTGATTTGATGCCTATTTCAAATTAGTTCCTCTTTGTATCTGATTCTGAAATTTGGTATGATTAAATTACACTCTATGAGCTTTAAATCCATGGGTAGAACACTTCTTTTGGATATGTGTACGATTTATGGTGATTTTTCAAATTTAGGGTTTGAAATCTGGAAATAGTGTTGAACTTTTGGAAAAGTGTCAAGTTCTGTACAATTACGGTACTGTTCAGCATAGAATTAGTTTCTGAAACTATTTTTCCTTTAAATTTAACTTAAGGAGCTTTCACTGAGACTTGGAACCACTCAATTTTGATGTTTCTAGAATTAATTATGAATTTTCAAAGTTGAGCAAAAATTCTGGAGTTTCTGCGTGAACAGTACCTGCAAACTAAAATTTCCAGATTTGATTTTCTTGAATCTAAAGCCATCTAAAGTGGTCCTAATTGAAAAGAAATAGATCTTAAGGATGGGAAATGATGAGATTTATGCTAGAAAAGCTAGAAAGAAAACCATAAAAGCATGAGAAAGGGTTGAGGTTCAAGAGAGCTAGTTTTGATTATTATGTAGTCTCTTGGTCCTAATGGATTGTATGATCATTATGGCTATGTTTAGAATCTTTGGAACATCCAAGAAGGATGTTTGGTGATGTTGATTGAATGCCCACATGGTTAGAAAGTCAAGGGAGTCAAAGGAAAAGTAAGAGGAAAGCTTGAGGTGCAAGGTAGTGAACTTACCTATTGTCATTGCTTGATGTTGTATGCTTGTGTGTTGCCGTGTACATGTTATTGAATGTTATTGTGATATGTTTTAGCTACTGTAATTTCTATTCATGATGAGTAGATTATGTCTCCATGGCTATGCATCAAGAAGTTAGCTTTGAACATGCTAATATGTCACTAATTAACAAGAGAATAAACAAGTTGCATGTAGTGCATTAGCATCCATCTAGCATGATTATTATGGTATTGTTTGCTACTGAGATTCCTCTGAATCTCACCCCTCCCTAACCAACCATATAGGTCAATCATCAATAGGCAATAATGGCATGAGAAGCAAGGAGAAGAAAGTGGAGAATTATTGATGTCAATGAATGATATTATTATTCATTGTGTAATTCTCTTATTATGTAATTTATGTTATGGATGCATATGATGCCATGTAATTAATTAAGATGCTTATGGCATGTATAGAAATGTATGAACATGAATGAGAAAGAGTAAGCCCATGTTATGTATGCCAAAGAAATAAAAAGAATTTGAGTAAAGGGATGTTAAGGGATAAAACGTAGGTCCTGGAGCAGTAAGTGTGTAGCTCCATTTTGACCTATCAAACAAATGACTTAAGTCACAAGATTTGGCATACTTATAGTACACACCCCAAGCTTTAAAATGAGAGCTATATCATCTCAATTGGATGTGTACACAAGGAGATACAAATTTCCAAACTTGAGGTACATAATCTGGAAGTTCCAGCTTTTATGAAATGAGCAGTAATATTTATTAATTAAACTATATGAATTGGGAAAGGATAAGTCTAATTGGATATTTTTTCCTTAAATAGCATCAAAATAGATTTCTGTAGAATTTTAGAACACCCCAATACAATTTTTATGAAATTAGTTATAAATTTTTGAAGCTGGACCTATAATCTGGAAATTTAACAGTGAATAGTAACCCGAGTAATTATATTGAAATTTTAAATCCATGGGCTTGTGTCATGATCTGCTTGAATCATAATGCTTATGAATGCATGCTCTGAGGGGTTAAAGGTAGAACGTTTCAAAACATAGCTAGGATACTATGATTCGAGGTGGTTTCAAGTGGTTTGGTGTTGTTTTGAAAAGCTTTTCATGGTTGAACTCCAAGAGGTATGATTCGGCCACTTTCAAAACTAGAACATAGGATGAGTTTTTCAATGTTTTGATGTTTTCTTTGTGTTTAAAATGAAAAATGGTGTAGAGTAAAGCTAAAGAACAGGTATTAGAAGCATTAGAATCAAAGATGTGATTTTTGAGAATCAAGCCCTAATGTTCAGCCAAACTGAATCTTGAGGAAGGAGATTTATTTTCTTAAATCCAAATGTATATTTGGATTCTACATGAAAAATCATATAGGAATGAACCAAGAAAGAATTTTTAGGGTTTAAAGAAATAAAGCTCTAAAAATCAAAGTTTAAACGATTAAAGGTTACTTGTGTTTTGCCTTTGATTCTTGCATGTTTTGGTTGATAATGTTGCTGCCATTTTTATGGATTATGATGTTAGAGTTTGTTAATTGTGGAGAAGAGGAAGAAGGTCAAATAATCAAGAGCATTTGGATCATGGTAGTGGGATTTAATTAGCCACTAATATTAACTTTGCATTGTTATTTATGACATAAATGCTTGCTATTGCATGGTCGAGCTATGATGTTTGTGATATGGTTGCTCCTTACATTTTGTTGCCTTGGAAATTGCATGTTGAGGTTGCCTATTATGAGAAGATTAGTTCTCCCACGATTGCTATTGTTGAAGTGCTTTATAATAATGCATGTTGATGTTTTGGTTGATTAATCTTGCTATTGGGATTTCATTAAAATCTCATCCCCCATATATAACCTAACAATTTAAGGGATGAATCATCAAAAGGGAAGCCACCAATTCAAGGGTAATTGTGGTGATGAACCATGAGGAAACAATTATACTTTGGTTATGTATAAGTATGTATGTTTGGTGTTGTAACCCTAAGCAGGATGCCAACTTGGAGCTACCTTTATATTAAGTTCTCGAATGAGTTTCTCCACTAAATTTGGTATACTTAAATTTCGCATCATGAGCTTCAACTTGATAGGTAGCACATTAAAAATGGCCAACTATACGATTTTTGGTGATTTTTCAAAGTTAAGTTCCATAATCTGAAAAAAGGATTTTTACCAAAAGAATAGCAATGATTTCCATAAAAACCTGACACTTTCTCAAATGGAAGTAATTCACTAGATTTTTTTTTGGAAACACATTCAAAGGGCTTTTTACAGAATTTTCAACCACTCTATTTTGATTTTTCTAGACTAAGTTATGATTTTTCGAAGTTGGACTAGAAAACTGGAGTTTTACCAAATGAACAGTAACAATCCAGAAATCAGTGTTTTTATGAAATTTTTGAGCCCTAGACCATCCAGTGTGGTCTAAAATGGTTCTAATTGAACTTTAAGTTGTTCTAATAGCAAGGTATAATGGGATACAAAAGAAAAACTTTCCAGAGCTACAATGAATGCCCCCTGGAGAACAAGTAGAAACAGGAGCCAGAGTTAAAGGAACCCTGGGCAGTGGGGGTCTTTCCAAAGACAATAGAGATCAATGAACCAGGGTGGCAAGAATTAGAACTTCTATCAAGAATCTGTGATGTCAACACCCACATATAAATAGACCATGTTCTAAGTGTAACAGGTATCATACAGGTGAATGTTGGAAGTGTTTCATTTGTCAAAAAGTGGGGCATCTCTCTCGACAGTGCCCTGAAGGACAGAATCCACCGAACAACTGATCCATCATACAGGGACATGTGTGAGCTATGACTCAAGAGGAGGCTAGAGTGTCTCCTAATCTCATTCAAGGTATGATTATTCTCCAAGGTCATAATATTGATGCCTTGTTTGATTATGGTGCCACTTATTCGTTTGTATCTTTGGATTGTGTGAATAAATTGAATTTGTCTGTGAGCCCTTTGCCTTATGATGTGCGAGTGTCTGCTCTGGCTGGATCGACAATTAAGACAAGTCAAGCTTGCTTGAATCTACCTCTCAAGTTCCAGGATAAGGATACTATAATTGATTTAGTCTGCCTACCCTTAGAAGGGATTGATGTTATAAATGGAATGGACTGGTTGTCCTCTCATGGTGTTGTGTTAGACTGCAACAAGAAGACTGCTACATTCTCTAGGAATTCTTTACTCACACTGCCACGAGGTGAGCCTGTCTTGTTTTCTACAGCTTAGGTAGACCAATACATTCGACAAGGATGCCAAGCTTTTATGATTCTCTTCTCGATAAGGTTGATACGGAAGAAGGGATTGAAGATACAGAAGTGGTAAATGAATTTCCTGAAGTATTCCTAATTGAAATGAGAGGTTTGCCCCCAGAGCGGGAAGTTGAATTTTCCATTGATTTGGTACCAGGTACTGCACCCATATCGAAAGCTCCATACAGGATGGCTCCTGCTGAATTGGCTGAACTAAAGAAACAGATAGAAGAGTTACTTGAGAAGGGATTCATCAGACTAAGTGCGTCACCATGTGGATCTTCGGTGTTGTTTGTGAAGAAGGATGGTACCATGTGTAACATCCTAAATTTTGTCTCACAGATACAAGTAATAGCATAAGGAAATGATGACTACTAAGTCCAACGTAACGAAAGTCCCGGAGATCCCTCAGAAGGAAAAAGAGATTTTCCAAGGGAAAATGTGTAAAACAATAGTGTTCAAGGACTAAAGAATGACGAACTGGAAACAACTAAGGGCTAGAGGTTATGCCAGAAACTTACAAGAGATGGTTCCGAAGGTTAGGCCTAAGGAGGGACTAAATTGCAAAGAAAAGATTCCTAGGCCAAGTAGGGACCTAATTGTAAATAATAAAAGTTCTGGTCAGCCAATGCTTAGAGTTAGCAAAAAAGGCCCAAATGACTTAGAAAAATTCCAGAAAAATAAGAATAGGATCCTAGAGCCGATATAAGGCTAGAAATGAAGGAAATGCCCTAAAGTCATTCCAGGGTTTTGGACAATTTGAGATAGTAACTCAAATTGAATTATTTAAGCTATAAGATTGCCTTAAATAATCAGGAAAACTAGGGAACAGTAGTTGAGGAACTTACATAGATTGTAAAATTAATTCCATCCCCAGAAACTGACAAGGTTAGCTTTAATTAAATTTAAAGCCTATTTATATCCTATCCGGGAGAAGTCAAAATAGCTGTCTAGAGTTTGGCTCTTGACCCGAGAAAAATTAGAGGAATTTCCTGTGATGAAAGGGAAATATAACATCCCAAAATTTGAAATCCTAGAAATGAGATATGATCGATAAGCATAAGGTATGAGTAAAACATGGAAACCCAAAATGGGACAAAACTGACTATCAAATCCCCAGGGGCCAAACGATAATTTTGAAAAAAGTTCTCAAATTTTCCCTAAAAATAGAAAAAGGTGGAATTAGGGGTTTTTGAGTCACCTATGATGTTTTGGGAGTGAGAATGGCCCAAAATAATTTTTGGTGAAAATTCCCAAAAAAATAATTATTTTTGGGAAAATAGGGAAAAATAAAGGGAAAATTGCAAAAAAAGACTTTGGAATTGCAAAAACGCAGATAGGGACCCTTGACAACTTCACTTTGGGTTTTGAAAACTTCAGGGCATATTATTCTTGTCAAAACCCAAAGTGAAGTTGTCAAGGGTCCCTATCTGCGTTTTTGCAATTCCAAGGTTTTTTTTTACAATTTTCCCAAAAATAAAGGGGAATTAAAGTGATATAATTATTTTAATTACCTAAGGACTCCAAAAATTGAAGGAAAAATATGGATACACTCCCTAGGAATATGTATGAATTTATAAAATTGTTTCCAAGCATTGGAAATGCAGGAAATAATTTATGGGGAATTTACTTCCTAATTCCTATCGGTAAAGGCCCGATTTCAGAGAAAACGTGAAAAAAATACCTACAGGTCTTGAAAGATTCCCAAAACTTCCAAATCACACTTTTGGAATAAATATGGATTTATCATGAAAAGAAATGGAATTTTGGAAGCCCTTAGCTATTTTTCTCTAATAGGGGGCAAGAAATCGGGTACTATGTGACCAAATAATTTTTAAAATTATCCTAACCAATTCCATTGCTTCCTAACCAGTTTTTACCATTTAGTTAGCATCCAACAAGGGCCATATTTGTGCTCATCATGACCAGGACAGGTGGCTTGTGTGCTGGGCAAATTTTCAACCAATAGATCAACTCTCTTGGAAAGTAAGTCAAAGCATGTGTGGCTAGAATTTGTTCTTCATTTTGACCAACTTTTGTACTTAATTTGGGGAAGAAATAGCTGCCTAAGGGCAGGTTTTTGGGCAGCAAATGAGGTCTATAAATACCCCCACAAGGCACTCAAAATTTGAACAGAATTAGGATAATAGAGGGGAGGTTCTGCACAATTTTCTTCTTGGCTTCCAAACACTCTTCAAACCACTTCCAATCCCAGGTTAATCATCAAGCTTTAATCCAAGACTCCTTAAGGTATGTTTAGGCTTTAATTTGATATTTTTTCAATGGCCAAACCGTGACAAAATTGAGGAAGAAGTGCTGCTCTATTTTTGTTTTGCTGAAAGTCCTAAGAGTGGATAGTAACTTGAATTATGAGCTTGTGTTATTGTGTTTGGTGCTGTTTTGGAATGGATTATGGAAAGAAAACCTCTTAGGGTGCAAGAAAAATGTTTTGGCCCAACCAAGAACTCAAGAATAAGATTGGATTCCATGTGTTTTAATGGTTCCAATGAATTTGAAATGTGATTTTGTGTAGGTTGTGCCATGGAAGTATGTTTTAATTCATTGAAATCAAATGTGGAAATTTAGGAACCAAAAGGGGTGTGTTCATCCATTTTGGAATTCAGGGACTTAAGGTTGGATTTTGATGGTTTTGATGCTTCCATTGAACTCCTTGGGCATTTTTGTGTAGGGTTATATGGAGGGATTGAATTTGGAAGCATTAAAAATCAAGTTGGAAATTTTGACATCTTTCCTTGTAAAAAATTTCGTTTATGTTTTGATCAGAATTTAAGGAAAGGATTTGATTTTGTAAAATCTGATTTGATATTTGAATTCTACATGAAAAACCATGTAGGAATGCCCAAGGAGGTTTCTTGAATCAAAAGGAAAACAATTAGGCCAAAAATCCCAAGAAAAAGGGTTTAATGTTTAAGTAATAGGGAATGTGTTTGAATAATTGTTGAATGATTGGCATTGGTGTTGGTTTGTTAGGTACCTTGCCAAATCCTCAAGAAAACATCTTGAACTTAAAGGAAATCAAGGACCAAGTACCAAAAGGTAGCATTGAATTACATTTTGATTGCTTTCTTGTTTACATTGATGTGTTAATGTGTATGTATGCAAAGTGTGCCATGATGTGACTAAGCTTTGTTGCAAATGTTGATTGCAATGTTTGAATTATATTGCCTTGGCATTATGTTCACTGAATATGTGTATGATAGCTTACTTTCCATGGCATAAAAGCATGAACACATAAGCAAGATAAATGCACAAAAACATTGCACATAGTGTTTGCAGGAATGCATGATAAATTGTGATCCCTTGCTACTGGGATTTCTTTGAAATCTCACTCTTATGTTTAACACCACCTAGGAGGGAGTTCAAGCAAGGGTAAAGGCAAGGAAATTGTCCCGAAGGTCTAATGAACAATCAATGTACCCTGGAATCTGTTATGGAATCTTATGACTTTAAAAATGTTTGTTGGATAATAGCTCCCAATAGGAGCCAAGCATGTATGCCTATGTTAAACATATGAAAGTATGGTGGAATGTATCTCCAAGCATGTGTCAAGTCCCAAATGATTAAGGATGGGTAAAAGGTTAAGAAAGAATCAAAACAAGTGTAGTTAGGGGATAAACTATCCATAGAAATGGCTAAATTTGGGACACCCGAAATAATTAGTAAATACTGGAGTCTGGAATTGAAATTTGGCAAGCTTACAAATCAAATTTTTAGCTTCAAATCAAGTGGTAAATCATTAAATTTGGAATTTTGTGGAAAGAGTTATGCCCTTTCAAAGCTGGGTAAAAATACTGGAAATTTCAGAATTTACCAAATGAACAGTACATAATTGCGTGGAAACTGGTATTGATCTATGAGGAATTGATACTTATGAATATTCTTCCTATGTAGAGAATTTCATAAGCTTCGTGTGAGACTTGGAACCACTTTGTTTTGATTTTTCTATATTTAGTTATGATTTTTCATATTTGACCCAATTTTTAGGGGTTACATGAATAATAACTGAAATCAAAACTTTAAATCTTGATTTTTACCTACTTTGAGTATCGAGTAGCAATTTTGAATGATTCCAAATGACGTATAATGGGGGTTTAAAATGAAGGTGTGACACCATGCAGCTATGCATAGACTATAGGCTATTGAATAAGGTGACCATCAAGAATAAATACCCTTTACCACGGATTGATGACTTGTTGGACTAGCTAGTGGGATCCTCGATATTCTCAAAGATTGACTTGAGATCTGGATACCACCAACTCAGGGTTAAAGTAGAAGATGTACTGAAGATTGCTTTTCGCATGAGGTACAGGCATTATGAGTTCTTGGTGATGCCATTTGGGTTGACCAATGCCCCGACTATTTTTATGGACTACATAAACAGGATCTTTTGACCGTATTTGGATCAATTCATCATGGTCTTTATCGATGACATTCTAATTTACTCCAAGAATGAGGATCAACATTGGAGGCTTCTCAAAACTGCTTTACAAGTCTATGTTGTGACCTGGAGAGGCAGAACGCTCTAAACTCTTGTGTTTTAGTCCTTGTAACATTGTGGCTCCATCCATGCTCCATCTTGGCTCTTGGGTCCTTCTTCAATTACCTGAAAATCACAACAAAGGGCTATATAAAGACCAACTGATTACAGCTCAAGACAATTAAAATTAAGGAGCGAAAAATGATTTACCCCTTAAATAGCAAAATGTAATGCATGACTCAATGTAATTAAATGGATATAAATACATGCATAATGAGGGTAAAAGTGTTGGAAAACATTAGAAGACACTTGAGAAAACCATATAAAGATCAGGTTCTATCACTCCCCCACACTTGAACCTTTGTATACCTGGACAAAGACTTGAATTGTTCTAAAGAAAGTACAGCTACAATTAAAGAAACTAGCATATTGAAAAATGATCTTAAGAGCTAATCGATCAACATCTTTTAGGAATATAA